ATTTAAGCAGTGGTTTAAATATGGTTGAAATTATTTTTCTCTCTCACATAAAATAAGTCCATAGATAAGCAGCCTAACGCTAATACAATGGCTCCACAAAGTCATAGAGTATTCGGTATCTATCGCTGCATCACGAATCACATCCCAAAACTAGAAGCTTGGAATAACAATCACATATTCCCATCTACATCCCAGTTTCCGAGGGTCACGAGTGGGGGACGCTGCCCCAGGCTGTGGCTTGCCCCCGCTCTCAGGAGGCCTGGCTGCAGCCGTCCCTAGCTCCGCCGGATCTGGGGATCCACTCCAGCTCACTCTCGTGGTCGTCGGCAGGCCCCGGCTCCCGCCGGCTGTTGGTTTAGGGCTCCGGCTCGTAGCCACGTGGGTCTCCATAGACAGGGAGGCTCAGAACCCATCAGCAGGCTTCCCGAGCACGTGACGCAGGACAGACCGAGGGTGGAAGCCGGTCTGCGCCATCTCCTTAGTGACACCTCCTGGCTCCCTTCCGGGAGGTGCTTTGGTCCCCCGGGCGGGCTCCGGCCCTGCGACCCTGCCCCGCCCCCCCTTCCTGCCGCTCAACCCTCAGGCGTCCCAAGAACTCTTCAGGTCTCTGTCCCCGCCCCGCTTCTCTGTGTCCTTGCTTTGTGCCTCTGATGCCTGATTTAGCCCCAGATCACCCTTGCATCTTCCTTCCCACCGCGCCTCCTGGCCAGCCAGGACCCTGAACCCCGCCCCCCGGTCCCCTCCCACCACCCGCACGCCCCGGGCTGTCGCAGGCCACCCAACGCCCTCCTGTCCAGCCAGGCCCGGATCCAGGCCCTCCTCCAGGAAGCCCCTCCTCGTAGCGTGTGGCGCTTTCATGACCCTATTTCCTCCCTCCCCGAAAGATCAGCTGGGGAGGTGGCCTGAGCCGTCTCTCTTCCTCACGCGGCCCCCGCTGTGGCCTATGCGCTGAACCCCCCCCCCCTTTGTTTTGGGGTGTCTTCTCCTACAGTGATGGTGTTGAAGAGGAGTCTGCGTCCTTCCCCGCCGGGTCGCCACACCCCAGGGCCGGGCACACGCCCCGTAGCTGCTCCAGCCTGTGAGCCGGGGCCGCAGAGCGGGGCCCTGGAGCCCCCTGCTGGCAGAGCGGCGACGCGGCGCCCTCGCCCTCGACCCCGCAGCTCTGGCCCCGTGGAGGCCAGGTCAGAGTGACGCTCCAGCCCGCGGACGGACGCGCTAAAGGCGCCTCCAAACCCCGTTACACTCTCTGCGAGTAGGAGAGTCTGGTCCCGCCGCACAAGCCTAAGAAAAGTGGCTCTTTCGTTCTCGTGATCTTGTGATTTGCCTTCTCTGAAAAAGCCCTGCTGTACCGAGGCGCTTCTGGGGCTGAGCGGTGCAGTAGGTAGCCAGAGCCCCATGTGGCTATGAGCACCGAATTGTTCATGGTGTGTAATTTTAATTAATTAAAAATTTAAACCAAACAGTGCAAGTTTTTCTGCAGAACAACTCTGTTGTGGTAGGACTACATGTCACTTTGTTTTTTCTTTTTCTTTTTTGGTGGCTGGCTTGTACAGGGATGGAACCCTGGATTTTGGTGTAATCAGCACCACGCTCTAATAATCAACTGAGGTAACTGGCCAGCCTACGTGTCACGATGAGCGCTGAAAATCTAGCCTCCAAATTGAGATGTGCCAGTGTGAAATACACAGTGGATTTCAAAGAGTTAATACCAAAAGAAGAATGCAAAGCATCTCATAAATTTAATATTAATTGCACACTGAAATATTTTGGATATATTGAGTTAAATAAAACATTAATTTTACCTTTTTTTTTTTAGTGACTAGTAGAAAATCTTTAATTACATATGCAGATTGCATTCTACTTCTGCATTTCTGTTGTAACGAGTGAGTAAATCTTAGTTTTATTTTCTGACTCCACTACAAGTCCCAGAGGTTGGGGACACTGGTGTCAGTAGAAATGGGGATGTGGCGGATGGGAGAGGACTGACCCTCTGAGCTGGGCCAACCCCATGGGAGTGACCCCTGGGCAGGAGGTTGGATGGGCAGCATCTCCTAGGGGCCCCAGATGGCATGAGGCTCACATAGAAATGGATGCTGACAGCCCAGCGTGTGCTGGATGTGGGCACTGAACTTGGCTGGCGTGAGCTCTTGGAAAGAACATCATCTATGCTCTTAGACCCAGGTTCCCACATTGGTTGTGTCACTCACTGTCTGTGTGGCACCTCACAAGCAGTTAATGTCCTCCAGGGCCACGGCCTGGTCTACTTACCCAGGGGCTCACAGTGTGAGACTAACAAGGGGAAGCCCTCTTCAGCCACTGTCGATAGTGGTTTTCTCCAGAGGAGGGCATTATGGAAGACACCACCTGTTTCTGGAATGCTGATTTGTTACCAGCACATAATTCTTTTGAAATCTGTAAAAATGCATCTTTTAAAAGCATTGTTCCACACTTTTAAATGTACACAAGTGGACTGTCGCAGGCACCTGATTCACTGTTCATAGAACTGAAGAGATTGGAAGCTAGGCCGCCTGCAGAGGCTGGAGCTTCCCGGGAAGAGGCTTCTTATGCACTGGCTGAGGTGGTAGGGACCCCAGGAAGGGAAGCTGAACAAGACCTGAAGGTCAAACCGCATCAGCCATCCAGCACCCCCTCTCCAGATTGTCAATGATGGGGCAGCCAGAAGGGGCAAATTTTTCTTTTAGCGAATCCAGGTCTGTTCCTGCCACCTCTGGCCACTTGACACCAGGTCCTGGGAGCCATGTCTTGAGCCCGTGAAGAGCCCAGGTACACAGAAGTTTTTAAAAAAACAAATCCTTCATTACAGACATGCGCACGTGCACACACACACACACACACATACACATACACAGCCAGAGGAGAAGTGCTCCTGTCTTTCACCTTCTAACATTAAATCTCCAGCTGGGGTATCTTCATTTCCAAGAAGTTGTGGGTGCACAGACACTACAATGCGAGGCAGTGGAAAGTGGGCTCTGCCCTTAGGTGGCAGTCCTGGGCTCATGGAAGATCTGAGTCTCTGAGATGCTTGGGGGCTCCTTACAAAAAAGGCTGCTCAGGCTTTCAGGTGGCTCCTGGCCCTCAGCAAGTCGGGGGAATGTGGGAGTCATAAAAACTCTCTTTGCCCTGATTCTAGGTGGAGAGAAGGAAATCCCAGAATCCAGTGTCACAGCAACTCACTCCTTGGGAGATAGAGTAGCCTTCAGAGAGCAAGAGAAATAAAGGTGAGTACATTTTGGGACTCTGAGCCCACAGCTTTCTTTTCCAGGACATGCCCCGGAAACCCCATCTCCCTTCTCAGGAAAGGGGCGAGCCACTTGCCACTCAGGAAGCAGCTGGACTGAGGCTGAGAGTGATGCTAGGTCAGGGAGGGGACCCAAGCCCCACTGAATGTAGAGATCCCTCCTGGGACAGTTTTAAAAGCAGCTGCCGGGCCGGCCCGGTGGCGCACTGCTACAGTGCACTGCTTGGGAGCGCGGTGGCGCTCCCGCCGAGGGTTCGGATCCCACATAAAGACCGGCCGCTCACTGGCTGAGCGAGGTGCGGGCGCAACACCGAGGGTTGCGATCCCGTTGCTGGTCACGAAAAAAGACAAAAAGGAAAAAAAAAAAAAAAGGCAGCTGCCACCAAGATCACAGGTTTGGATCCCCATACTGGACAGCCACCAAAATAAAAACAAAAAATAAATAAAAAGTAACTGCCTTGTGTGAGATGAATAGAATTGGATCTAATTCCCCTTTAGAGTGGAAAATGGGTGCTCTAAACACCAAACCTCTTTGGGTCTGGAAACTCTATACCTCTATCTTGAAACCTTGGCGTTCCACAGGTTAATGTACAGTATCCCCTCTCTGGCTACTACACCCTGCAGTATATTTTTTCGAGGCCTGCATGGAGTCCTGAGTCACAAAGTGTCAGGGTCAGAACCTGCTAGTCTAGAAACCTGTTTCCAGCTGAGTACCCAAGGCCCACAGAAGCCCCATCATGAGCTCAAGGTTGCATAGCTGGTTAATGGAGTTGGGACTAGAACTCACAGCTCTGATGTTCCTCCGGGCTGACGGGTCACTGAGGACCACCTGCAAAGAACCTGTTGAATGTTTTGCTTCTGAGCACTGGAGGTAGCCAAGGTAGCCTGAGGGTTTATTTGCCAAGAGAGGGAGAAGGCCTCACCCTCATTCTCTCTGGCAGGTAGATACGAAGCTGGGTCACTGGGGGAGAATCCATCAGGATGCAAGGAAGAAAAGAAGGAGTTTGGGTGAATGAATAAGGAGAAAACAGTGGCAGAGAGTTGGGGAAATAACACGGGACCAAAGACAAATCTTTGTCTTAATGGGTGTTTTAACAAAACCAAGCACCAATAGTACCCCTTAGACTAACTATGCAACATCGCCATCTGGTGGCCACTGAAGGCGTACACGTGCTTTAGAAAGGAATCGAAATGCTAGTCTAATGCAGTGATCAGCTTCCCAAGCAAAACCCACTGCTCCCCAGCCCGTCCTGGTTGAGGTTGGCATTTGGCACAGAGGGGCACCTGTTCAGGCAGATCAGCCCCTGCAGGGAGCTGCACTGCACGTGAGCTCCAGGCCAAGTGGGTATCTCTCACTCAGCATGGGTCGACAGGGTTTTGAAGACATGGGGTAGATGACTTTCAGGCTACAGAACTTCACGAAAAGATGGCTTTTCAGGGCTCTATTGGAGAAGCCTCCCCATGTTTATAGCCAGCAGACACATGAAGTCAGTCATCTGAGTTCTGGGTATAGGAACAGGACTCTGGGCAGTGCCTCTGTTATTACTGCCTGAGGGTGACACTACCCAAGTTAATCACCTGCCTTGTAATAGCTGCTCAATTAAAAAATAATAAAAAAAATTTAAAAAGCCAATATCTACTGCTTAGAGGGGAGCCAGATGTACAGGGAGCGTATTTTTAAAAATGGGCTAAGAGTAACCATGGGAGCTATTATCTTATTGATCAAGGTCCAGCCATTTGCCAAGGTATATACACATTTTATTTAAAAAAGTTTACAGTTCTCATTATACACAACTATTAAGAGGTTATAGTCAGAGGCATTTGTCCTGTTGACAGAAGTGCCCACTAGATCATCACAATGCAAGGAAAAAGGTGGAAGGGAGGAGACAGGGCAAAGAAAAAATGAGCAATAAAAAGCTTAGATTTCAATTAAGGGCTGGTAAGTCCCTTTTATCTCTTCAAGTATCACACAATATGTACCAAATACAATCAGTAAATAATGGCCATTTCTTCCCAAGCCCACAGCCAAGACGAGTACTTGCTAAATTAAGAGCCTGGCCCTTCCTCAGGTGAGTGGAGAACCTGCACACCTGAGGACTGGTAACTCCCCCTTCCCCGAAGGGTCTCCAGCCCATCTGATCCTAATGGAATCGCTAAGGTGTTCAGTGGCCAGAGACAAGTATGAACATGGATTCAGAAGTCCAAAGAAATGCAATTCTTCGTGCCCAATCAGAAATGATTTCATTCAACAAGGCTATGAACTCAGAAAGTTGATGAAATCAAATAAAACTCTTGTTTACTTTTGTAAGTGGCTTTCACTTTTCTGAGTCACTAAAATATAGAAGGGCCACATGCTATTTAAAAATCCAACACTAGTCCCCAGAAACTTGGTGTCTAGAAAACTTGACGCCTGGAGGCTAGGAGAGGATCTTTCATGATTCTCAGCCATCCCAACAGGAGACCTAATAAAAACCAAGTGTCAGGCCAACGCCAACTTGGGCTTCAGGGAGCCTTTTGAGGGGAGACACTCCTCAGGAGCTTAGATCAGCCAGTTGGCAATTAGAACGGCATTTGAAATAGACAAAAAATGTTAGGTATTGGAGAGATTATATGGCAACTTCTGGTAACTATCTCACTAGTATAAAACGCTGGTCGAAACTGCATGGTAACCTCAGAAAGGCGATGAGATTGAAGACAAAAAGCCAAAATGCCAGTGTTTGGGTTGGCTACCACCAACTGCAATCCACAGGCCCCTGTGCTGGGGCTTCTGGAGAAAGCTGGAGTGCAGCAGATTAAATGCTGCTGTGTTGCAGCCATCTTGCTTGTTGGTGTTTGGCAAGAGCTTGAGCTCAGTCATTTGAACAGGGGCAAAGAATGGCTTGCGCTGGTGAACCACAAGGTAGGATTTCAAAAACTATGGGTACTAAGAAGGGAAGGGAAACTGCCAGAAGCAGCTCTGACCTACAGCAGCCACCACCTCTAAAGCCAAGAATGTTCAGTCTTTCCCCGGGGCTCTGGATACTTTTGAGTATCACGAAGAGACAACCTTGGACAACTTGGAAAGCCTTCTGGAGTTGAAACACCCATTGCTGCAGACTCACTCTACCATGTTATTGGGGGCACAGAGTCCTCAGATTCACAGCCAGGTCTTCTTCTAGCCCCTCTGTACCTATAAGTATGGCCTCCTACTTCCACCTCTCCCAGGTGCAGGGAAGGAACAAAAAGTTAGCATAAGAAGGGATTCTGTTCAACCTATCAAAAGTCAATTTCCTAGCGAAGAGGAAAAGCCCCACAAACAGCCAAAACACAACATGGGACCAAGGTTAGTGCCCAGAAAGGGTAGACTTGCACATAACGAGAGAGGAGTGGGATTTGTGCAGCAATTACAGGAGCTTCCAGGGCTAACAGAGAAGCCTAATTACACTTTCATCACACGGACTTGAATGGACACAAACACACACACACATACACACATGCACACTCTGAAGCCACACTCAGATCTGCTTCTTAAGCCCTGCAACCTCCTCCATCAAGTCTTTATTTGGGGATTCTGCACCATCAGCTCTCTGGTGCTGGAGCTCTGGAGATCGGAGGCACGCTGATGTCTTTTCATGAGAGAGACGTGGATTTAGGGGAGGAGCAGAGCTGTGGCACTGCTCACACGCCTTCCCTAAACTTGGTTCTACTCATGTTTTTGACAAGATCAGAAGCAATTACTATCTGGACATTATTTTTTTGAAAGGTAATTAGAACACTATTGTTTATACAATATTGAAAAAATACAATTTTTTATTGTTTGAACTCAAATCACCCAGCACTTTAAGCCTACCCTAAGTAGCACCTACAATAAAGGTTATAGCACAAGCAAACTGCTAATTCAGCAGGTAAGCAAGTTAGACAGTGCCAGTAGAGACCCTCCCTCCCCCAAAGCAATGAGAAGACAGCGTGCTAGGTAAGAGTTAAAGCACACCATTACATGTTAAATAGTTAATACTACCCTTCCAACAAGCCACAGATGCTAGATAGATAACTCAGTTACTGTTAACTAACCACAACCCTACATAACCACACTTTTTAAAAGAAAGCCTTTTGCTTCATGCCCGTAATTAACATAAAATAAGTAAATTCTTTGTCTTTTTATTTAGGAAAATAATCATGCTAAGAGCAAGATGTACTTTATATAGATTTTCAAAGAAAAGACTGATTGTGCTTTCTGAATAAAAAAAAGATAGGGTATCTTCCAACCTCACTGACTTAAACCTTGTGAAATACAGCACTTCTAAACTAAAAACACACATCAAGAAGAAAAATTAAGTTATCCCAGTGGGACATTCAAAAATTGTCTTTAGAAGGTCTTAGGATTGGCTAATTCTGCTATTGTCCTGTTGGTTGCAGCAAAAAAGGAATACAGAGCTGCCATCTAAAACCTCTCCAAATTCCACTCCAAATTCAGCAGGCAACACTCAGATTTGAAAGAAACTCTGCAGCAACCTGGATATATGGTTAGTGAGTAAACATCTGATTAGCAGGCATTTAAAACTGTCTGATTTCCTCTTAACACACACAGGAGAGAAAATCTCCTTCCTTCAAAACCTGTTCTACTACATCATATTTCTGAATCCCTTCTTCCTATTAGGTCACTCTCTGAAAAAACTTGTGTGTTTTCCCCATGTTCTTGGGTATAAGAACTTTTATTTTTCCAATTATTATTCATTTTAAATGTAGAACATGTGTTGGGTCTAAAATACCCGTTTCCTACTCCCACAAACAGATGATGACCAGGCTGCTGCAAGAGTGGCAGCAGAAGGGAAAACAAATCCCAAACACGAATGAGAGGATCCAGAGCTTCCCAGCCACCAGACAGCTCTTCTTCCCAAGTCTAATGGTCCCCTGAGCGGCTTGTCCAAGGAGGAGACCGTCTCTTGGTAGGTGAAGATGACATTTGCAACCTAAGCACAATTCACACACACAAGAAAAAAAAAAAAAAAAACCAAAAACCCAGCCCTCAAATTTAAAGCTCTTAGTCCAGGGTAGTGGTTTCAAACTGGCCAAACACCAGGATTAGGATGCGACTTTGCATGTGTTTTGGATGAGAGGAAGCATCTTCCCAGTCACTTTTCTCCTCCTGTCTCATCCTCTCAAAAAGGTCTACCCCGAGAAAAAGAATCGGGTTCAGAAAACACTTCCAAAAGGTTCTCCAAAGCAAAACACTTGTGGCTGCAGGGCCTGGTTGCATGAAGGGCAGGAATCTCTATATAAAAAATGTACTTAAAAATCTGAGTCAAAAAATTGTTTTAAGTTTCAATACTCCAATTAGCTCCCTTGTTTTATACTGTTATTCCACAGAAATGGGGCCACCTAGGATTCACAGGAAGGAGCAGCTCTGATTCTTATGTGGCTGGCTCTAAATGCTCCCACAGCAGGCCTCTTCCTCCCCAGTTGTTTCCTTTCCATTTTGAAAAAACACTATTCTATGTTCATGTCCAAGAGTTGGTTGGTTTGGTTTGTTTCTTTGGAACCATCAATAAAAGAAGCAACTCTTTCCTGTTATTTTTACTCATGTCTACCTATTAGAGCGGCTATTTCCTTTGACAGTTCAGTAGCACACAGGCTGACTTGGCCAAGTGGACTTATGAATGCATGCATTCGGACTGCATATTGCTACCAAAATGGAATGTGGGAATATGCTATGCACCTCAGGTTGAGAAATGACCAAGAAATCAAGATCTAAAGGGTGATATATAATATATATATATCAATGCTATTATTCATAAAAACCTTGTTTAGTAATAAAAAAAATTGCTTTGTTTAAATATGAATATTATAGTCTGCTTCTCATGGTTAGGAAATAATAGTCTTTCTGAAAAGCAGGTGCTTTTTCTACTACAACTCCATATCCTGGGCCTCATCTTCCGAAAAGTCAGACATAGAACTCTCTGACGAGCTGTCACCGGTGCCCTCCTCCTGCTCTTTCAGTGCCTCCTCGGTTGCATATTTCTGGATGTACTCTGCATGGGGGGTGGGGAAAGAGAAAGAAAACACAAGGGCCGTGAGTGGGCAGGCATGTGTTCCAGTCACTCCAAAGCTGGCAAGTCCTGGGGAGGTTCAGACTTACCTTCGACATCAGGAGGTAACAAAGATGACAGTTATTATGGTCACTAAAGTGAAGGGGAATCCCACAGGGAGACTTCTTCTGAACAGTTTATGCATTTCCCCCCCAAGCGGAAGGGATTAAGAGGGACAACACAGAACGCTTGGTTTGCAGGAGAATAAATATACTGCATTGCCATCCCGGAAATCTTGAGGGATTGCGGAAATGGGAATGCCACGCTTTGTTTTTACTTTCTGGGTTAATAAAATGATTCACCTCCCAGATAGAACAGTACTAGTTATGATTCCATAGTAATTTTTAAGGAAATCCCCCATCATTTTTAGATTTGCAGTTATATAATTAAAGTCAGCCCAGGTCTATTATTTTAGGAATAGATTTTAGTCTGAACAGACCCTGCCTGTCAGGTTTTTGAAGCAGCTGGTAAAAATTGTCTCTCAATCTGCTCAGGAATGAGCCATTACATGGAGACACTACTAGCCTCCGACTGATTTTAACCGTGTATTATTTACCTGAAAATTTATGCTGCTATATAGCCTAGGCTGAATCTGCTGGCTGAAAAAAAAAATGTTAAGAACTGCTAGGAAACAATTAAATTTGTTCCTAAAAGCTCTAAGTGCATATTGTTTTCAAGTAAATATCTTACACTACGAAGGGACAAGACGGTTAGAACTCCATTCAGAATGCATGCCGGACAAAAACATACCCTTGCGTCCTTATGCTTTGTTTTTTCTCCTGTGGAGTTGCAGGGACTAATTGCAATAGGAAGATAAGGTAAATGGCCAAATGGGCTTGCCGAATTTGAATAACTAGTGCAAGAGTGTAGCTAAGAATTAAAAATATATATATATTCTAAAGGGTTATTTTAAAAAAGAAAATAAAGAAGTTGTGATAGAGACCAAATGTGGCCAAATCTGGCCTTTACAGAAAGAGTTTGCAGATTTGTGACTTAGAGCCCTTTAAATTCATTATAACAAAGTCTTACGCTGAGACAATGAGACTAAACTAGCCCCTAAGTAGAAATTTACCTTAATTTACCTTTTAGAGAGAAATGTTTATTAAAGCCTTAGAAATTTAATTTTTACCCTCTAATGGGTTGGCTATTTGGTTTCTTCCTTTATAGAAGTTGCTGCACCTTGACATTGTTTTTGGCACTGTGATTTGATACCATCAGCCTTCTTTTGTATATTAAGGAAACAAATGTATATCAAGTGCTTATTAGGTCAAGGCCTTTCAGGAGATAGAGAAAGGAAGAGTAAGGTCACTAATGAAAAGAAAACAGGAGAAAAGGCAGGTGCTGCTGAGTACCACCAGAGGGGCAGTCTCAGAGGGGAGTTGAGGACACAGCCGCCCCAAGCCCCCAAGTTCTGCCAGCTGCAGCCCAGTAGAGGCCGTTCCAGGGGAGAGGCTTAGCCCTGCCAAAAGTAAGTGGCTGGGATGTTAAAACACATTGGGAGAGAACTATGTTTGTCTTTTTTCTTTAAAAAAATCTGAAGTAAATAAGGCAGAATATAAAGGTTTTGCTATGTTGGACGGTGGGTTTGTAGTAATTAAATTATTCCGTTTTTTCCATAGATTTGAAACTTTCCATGACTAACAAAGGAAGCAAATATACTTGGGTACCTGAAACCCATCCAATTTGATTGCCACATGTTGATGCATTTAGAGTAGTAAAGGCAAAGATGTAGACTACACTCAGTACCACAGAGCCCTGAATGACAGGCTAAAATGCCACTCAGCAAAGGTTTTTGAGCAGGGAAGTGATATCTTTAGACAGCTCCAGTGGTGCTCAGTACTATAAGCTGTCCAAATTAAACATGTTTTCATATGCACTATAAATCAGCATCAACTAAACATGAACGCTAACTAATGTTCAGGGTAAGATCAAGGACATGCATTTACCTGTGATGTTAGGTGTGTTGAGTTTGTGGTGATTGCCGTACAAATGGACATGTCCAGTAGGCAGCTTGGGAGAGAGGGCAGGCCTAGACACACATATTTGGAAATCATCTACCTGGAGGGGATTAACTGAAGCTTGTGAGAGGTGAATAAGCTCCCCAAGGACTGGGAGAAGAGAGGGAGCCTAAGGACAAAGTCTTAAGAGAATGACCACATTTAGGAAATGGAATAAGAAACGTGTCCAGAAAGGTAGGGGGTAAAATACCAAAGCTGCAGAGAGGTCCAGGAAAATAGGACTTGAGAAGGATCCAAAGGATCAGGAAGAAATGAGGTCACAGAGTCGGCAGAGGAGGGGGGGGTAAAATACCAAAGCTGCAGAGAGGTCCAGGAAAATGGGACTTGAGAAGGATCCAAAGGATCAGGAAGAAATGAGGTCACAGAGTCGGCAGAGGAGGGGAAACAGACTAGACTTGAGGAGTTTAAGGTGCAGAAAGGGGCTGGCCATTTAGCTCAGTTGGTTAGAGTGTGGTGCTGATAATACCAAGGTACAGAGTTTGATCCTTGTACCAGCCAGCTGCCAAAAAAAATAAAATAAGAAGTTTGAAAACGACATGATGAAGAAAGAGAAAAAAAAAAGCATGACTCTTAGGGGAGCCCACAGGAGCAGATAAATGCTTCTGAAATGGGGAGACCTCTGATAGTCGAAAGTAGAGTCAGGGTAGGGAACAAGATCACAGGTTGGTAGGGAGAGAGAGTCTGCGAAATAAGGATTGAACAAAGAAATGATGGGGGCAGTGGGGGGATATATAATAAAGGCACAGTTAGAAGCCAGGCTGAGCTGAGGTCTGATAGCCATGATTTTCTCAGATTACCAAGGTCGACAAAATGATAGCCAACATTAACATTTCAGAAAGCTAAGGTTCCCTAAGCTAGGCTAGCCATTCTGAGATAAACATAGGTTGGATTCCTTTTATAACTGGTACTATAGCAGATATGTACTAAAATAGGGCTAGTGTTAAATTGCTGAGGCATAATGAATATAAGAACTACACACACACACACACACACTCTGCATGGACATATCTGTGGTTTGCAGGCATTGTTAAGTGATTCCTATGTCAGAATTTTAATGCAGTCTCATAACAGAATCTAATAGTTGAAACTGACTGCCTTTTTCTTGAAATACATGTTTGTTTGGCCATGTAGATATTCTGCTACATAAATTAGATATTATTTTGGAAGGCACTTGAGACCTAAGTAAATTAATTACAGTAGATTTATTTCTACTTTATTTCAACAAAAGCACCAAGTAATACTCTATAGAGACCTGGGAAGAATAAGAAAACAAACAGAAGAAAAACTATTATTCAACAAATAGCCCCAAATGCTCCTGTTTGTCTCATAACTGCACAGTTGGGAGTGAAGACCTATATATTCAAGCTTTCATAAATTTCTACTGCCAACTCTTGCAAAAGTACCGTAGGGGGCAACAAATTTTGAGGAAGTCAACACTCTAGACTGCTATGCAGATGGTAAATTTTACTAAAAATTGGGTAGATACCAATGTCTACTATTTGTTAAAAAGAGCAGGTATATTTTCATGGACTTTGAATTCCTTTCCTTTTTGGTGGAGTTTTTTTATATCTAGATGTGTCACTATGATGGTTCTCAAACATACATGGAGATAAACAGGACAACTTGATAAGCACCACCGAACCCACATGGAGCTTTAAACATTCTTTCACAGCCTTACTGTCATTTTAATGACAATCACGTGTCATTAGCAGGTAAAGTGTTTGAGGAATGGAAAAACAGGTTTCTAAATCCTAAAGGATGAGCAAACTGATGCTACTCCCACGAGCACCAGAGGCTGGTGAATGCTGCTTCAAGCCCACAGCTGCCTCTTTTTAGGAACTAAATAACTTAAAAGGGGCTCTGAATGACCAAAGCCCAAAAGATTTAAGTTCTTCTGTCTCCTAGTTAAACCATTTGCCTTCTTACCTTTAATTTTCTGCTTGTACTCTTCTGGTCGGTGGAGGTACATGGCTGCAGCGTCACCGTTGAGAGGATCTATGGGGTTAGGATAGGCCAACAACTGGGGCAGGAAGGACTCAAATATATTGGTAAGATCTGAAACAACAAACAAACACGTCATGCTTGAAAACATGCAAGTTCTCAAATTCACTTGAATTCAGTAGTCAAAACTGCTTACTACATGGGAATGATTTTTCACAAAAGTGTGCTCCATCACATGTCCTATATTATGCATTCATTTCAATACCAATTGCAATCTTTAAATTTTAATCTGAAGAACCAGATAAAGACAACTGACATTTGCTTTGAAAGGCAATTTTCTTAATTCTAATTCAGTACATTTTCCAGGCTGAGAAGAATTTTCAAATACACTACATATTTATTACAATTTGTGCTCCAATATTCTATAGCACCCTACATTCCTACAAAATGAGTAATTTCTTAACAAGGTCATTTCTACAGCTTTCAAAACACCCCCCACTCTAAAACGTATCCAAGTGCCAGATCTTAAAGAACCTAAAACATCTTTATAGGGCTTGACATTTATTTCAATTCTCATAACTTCTAACAGATGTAAATATAACCAGTTTTTCGGTTATGCTGGGTAATGAGGGTAGGAACCAATATGGACCACTTAAAACCATAAATAATCATAAGACAGATAAGCATCAATCTACTGCATTTATTAATAATCATTTTAATAATCATTTATTAACTCCCTTCTTGCTGGTTTTACACAGATGACATTACACACACAGCCAGCAAAAACAACAAAAACCCTGCAGTTACAGTGTCCTATAAAGGCAGCAGGCCTTGAAAACCCGGTGGAACATAATCCACGCCTCCCCGTAACTTTGGAGATGCTGTAATGTCCATTCTATTTGCTCCTCGGTTGGTAGACAGCAAACTGGGGAACGTGAGCGCTTCCCTTTCTCTGCCCTACTCCAACTACTGTCATGTTTTATATAAAACATTCCTGTTTCTGGAGGGAATGCTAAAGCATAGTAAGCAGCATAAAAAACTACCCTTTAATTTATTCTGCTCTTTTAATGGATTTTCTTTTTCTTTTATAGTGAGCAGTCCTACACCGTATTACAGATGAATGCTTTGCCAAACCACATCACTTGAGATTAGTGCTTCTCAGCCAGGGGTGATTTTGCTCTCCAGGGGTATCTGGCAATCTCTGGAGACATTTTTTGTTGTCACAACTGAGGGGTGCTCCTGGCATCTAGTGGGTAGAGGCCAGGGATGCTGCTAAACATTCTAAAGTACACAGGACAGTCCCCATAACAAAGAACTATCTGGACCAAAATGTCGACAGTGCTGAGGTTGAGAAACTCTGCTCTAGATAAAACGGGTTGGCAAACCTTTTCATGAAGGGTCAAAGTAAATACTTTATAGGCTTTGTAGGCCACACACATGATCTCTGTCATAACTACTGGACATTCAACTCTGCCACTGTGGCACAAAAGCAGCCAAAGATAATCGTAAACAAATGGGTGCAGCTGTGTTCCAATAAAACTTTATATAAAAACAGGTAGCCAAAGTTTGCCAAATTTTGTTCTAGAAAACCCTACACATAAGAGGCAGCTCTTCCTTATCACTGTAAGGTTAAGAAACAGCAGTTAGAATGATATGAGAGAGTGTCCCATGACAACTAGCAAAGTCCGGTTGTCATACACCAGATATTAATACAGAGCAGCTTTACCTTTAACCTGAAGTTATAGGTTTGGGATGACTTCACCTGGGGCTATTTTACTTTCATAAGACCAAGTTCAGAACAGTCCCAAAGAACCACATTATAGCAAGATTCTTATGTACCAGGAAACAAATATTAAAATTCCTAATCAAAACAGCAAAACAAAAACCTTCCAAGATAATCTCCAAACTATCTGCAGTGAGATTTTCATAGAAGTTTTATTTATGACTTTTTTTTTAAAAAAAAAAAAAGGAAGCAACGTATTCAACAAACCAATAATTATTCGTGGCATAAAACCACTGAGAATTATTTGGACGGGAGTGCCGCCGCGCTTCCCAAGCAGCGCACTATCTAGTGCGCCACCGGGCCGGCCCTATGACTTTTTTTTTAAAAAAAGAAAAAGGAAGCAACGTATTCAACAAACCAATAATTATTCGTGGCATAAAACCACTGAGAATTATTTATAAAGGTTAAGGAATAGAGAAAAATGCTTATGCTTGAATACTGGATGGAGAAAGGCCATAAAACAGTATGTTCTCTAGAATTACAAATATGTACAGTATGTATGCATAAGAATATTTTTTAAAGTTATGTCAAGGCAACAGGCTAGTAATTTCTATTTTCCACACTACAAATGGCACTTCTTTTGCCTTTAAAAATAACATTATCCTATATATATATGTCCTTCCTATTTTTGTATATATATGAAATAGGTAAGCAAATTAAGAAGAGTTTTACAAATTGAGTGTGACCCCAGAGCGGGAATGTGTTAATAATAGTCACATTAACAGTACTGACAGTTAACAGTGATGGCAGCAGGTTAACCCTTACACAGCAATTACTACATGCAGGACACTCTTAAGCACCTTGCATATATGCTCTTAATTTCACTACAGTCAATGAGGTAAGGTACCATTACCATCTCCACTTCACATATGAAGAAACAGAGGCACACAAAGGCTAAGCAATTTGCCCAAGAGTCTGGATTTCAAACCGAGGCTTCCTATCGTGCTGCCTCTGTTAATGGATAAAACAAACTGTTTCAACTTTCATGATGGTGCAAGCTCCCCACATCTCTGCATCAAAAACGCATACTCTCATTGGCAGGGGAGCCAAGGCCATGGGTCAGAAATGACCGCCATCCTCCCCAACGTTTCCCTTTCCCACAAGTGCAAAGCCAGCAGGCGGGGCTCTAAGCAGAGCATGTTCTGGCATTTCTGCAGCTATGTCACAGAGGCAGTGTGCTTGTTCTCGAGTGGCTCCAGCACAGGAGGTAACCCAGGCCATTCACAGATACCTGCACATAGTGAGCTGGGGGCTTTCTCCTGCCATATTATTATTACAGGCACTGCTCAAAAGGATTAGCTGTGCTGGATGTTCCTGTCAAGCAATAAAAACCTTCAAAAAACAAAGTATGGGTTTTACTCTCTTTAACATTCCGAAGTGCCTCAGGGCTGGAGAACCATTACAGATGACATATTATATAACTAGAGGTTCCATGCATCCCTGGAAGAGATTTTATATCCTCTTCTACTACCTTTAGTTTCCCCAAGCTACCAATAAGTGGCTTTACCTATGTAATTGTTCCAAACAAATAAGAGAACCCTTAATTATTGGTTCTTCCGTCTTGTGTCACTGTCTTCCTGTGTGAACACACTTTTGGTCCATTTTACAGATGTGCTGAATCACACCTGTTAAAAAGAGCAGAAAAGGCAAAGCACGCAGTCCAGTTTTGGGAGAAGATGACAGCTTGTGGAGGGCAGGATGTTACAGCTATGGCCATTTCAAAGCAGTAAAAAGCATTCCTGAAAGTGTCTAGAAGAGTGATTATTAATGAGAAAGTTCTCTTGAAAGGGGTATTTCTCAAATGTGAGATGTGCAGAAAATCTTTTTTCAAGATAAATATGTTGACTGACGAGAGCTAGAAGAGTGATTATTAATGAGAAAGTTCTCTTGAAAGGGGCATTTCTCAAATGTGAGATGTGCAGAAAATCTTTTTTCAAGATAAATATGTTGACTGACGAGACCTAAACTACAAACCAAGAATAAAATAAAGCTACTCATATTTGGAAAAATTCATTGTAATGAACATTTTTTTCTAGACTTCTTAACAATAATAAAAACATGTATAAGTTCAAAGATCTTTATTTTAAAAACATTAACCTTCAACTTTTTGAAAGGGAGAGAGCCAGGCAGGCACAGGTCACTCAATCTAGAGATTATAGTCAGCTGGCTTCATTTCTGGCTATCTTAATTTTTAAAGGAAGTCCCAAGATCCCTGAGAAGTATGGCTTATGAACCATGAGCAAACAGCTCTTACTTTTGCCTTACACTAAAATCAGCAGTTATTAATTATTAGGACTGGATTCTTCAATGTGACCTTATGTATTAATGTTAATATTATGACACGCACCTCAGTTTAGGCACATAAACTGATTTATAGTCATATTTCATTTTTTAAAACACCCAAATCACACTGATTTCTCATCAAAAGCAGCATCATTTACCTCACTCAGTCCAGAGCAGTAATTTCTAGGCAAGTCTATGTCCTGGCTGTTTGTCCATCAGAATTACCCAGTTTTTCCAAAATATGCTTGCTGAAGCTTCTTACCTACCACAGGGCTTCTGCTTTAGGACTGGCTGGCATTTGTCTGTGTGTGTGTGTGATACAGATGTCTGTGTGTAAACACATAGCCAGGAAACACCACCTAGTCTGTGCATGCCATACCCCCAAAGACCAAATGTGAAGGGAGGACTCTTTGCTTATGGATTCCTTGACTTGAGAAAATGCTTAGGTTTGGCAGCTAAGCTGTAGTTTAGCAGCCTTCCCGGACCCTTTCATCTTTCTTTTCTGCACACTGCTGTTACTACCACTTTCTCCAGGTTGAGGTATGCCAAACCACAGGCAGGTAAAAGAGGATCCTAGAGGGCCATTTAAGGGCTGCTGTAGAGGAGAATGGGTGGTGGCGGACATCACCTAGCACACTGTTGACATTTGGCAGGGCAAATTCCATTAGGCTGAACTGTCTCCAGCATAACGGAAGCTGCTCCTCAGTGGTGAATAATAGACAAAAAACCTAAAAGACCACATGTTAAATCTCAGGCCTTCCACTGACTTGCTCTTTGACCTTGGGTAGGTCTCTTCCTCTCTGTATCTCACTTTCTTCATCTGCAAAAAGAGAAGTACAATACTTCTGTTCCTTACAAGGAAGTATTACACATTGCTTAAAATGACTAAGATATGCTTCAAACTGTACCAAAGGACTAAAGTATTAATATCAATATGGCATCTTTTTTTTACTTTTAATTTTTTAATTTTTTTTCCTTTAAATTTTTATTCTGTCAATATACAATGTGATTGATTATTATGGCCCATCACCGAAACCTCCCTCCCTCC